ACGGTATCTGTGGCTTATGATGGTGAGGTGCCTCCTGATCCTAAGGTGCTCAGACAACACTGACCCCACATCAGATTCCACTTGGAACACGTTGGCAAAGTCTTGTAGCCGTAGGATCTGGAGGTAGCAGATGAGACGGAACAGGACGCAAACGAGGAAAAACACGGTCGTACGATAGAGCCAGGAGCACAGCTCCAGTGAGCATGCTATTGCGGCACTCATGTAAACGTTACCCAGAAAAGGGATCATTGTGGCTTCGGATGCGTACCACCATATCTTATATGCACTCTCCGCAGCAAAGCATGGCATGACAAAGATGCAAAGAAGCTTCAATGATCTCTGCACAGGAAAAAAGATAAAAAGAAAAACAAGTTTTGGCTAAGAAATTGGAATGACATAAATAACTTCAAATTTATTTTTACAATTCATTGTCATATCAATAAAAAGCCAAAATATTTATTATTTATAGGGATGGAGGAATTGGATTAAACTCACATTGAGCTGTTCTGTGTATTCCCTCCTCACCGTCTCGCTCTCATTATAAAGCTTATCAAAAAACAAGAACCTCCGGAGCCCAAACTTCCGGACAAACCACGAGAGGCACAAAAACGACACCGTCGCGACGCTGCTCAAGGACAATTGCACCACACAATCGTAAGGCCTCTTATGCTTTCCGTCGCAAGTGGCACAGGCGAACACAAAATGGGATATGGCTGGAACAACGATCCCAAACAAAATGAAAATGCTCCATGAAATACATGCTCTCCATGCATTAGATTGGTCCACGCACATCCACCATATGTAGGATCTAAAGCTCTTTAGCTCGTCTTGTTTGTGGGAAACGCAGCGTCCTAACTTGTTTCGGTTTAACAAGGCCTCCCTGCCATCGTTTCTCATGGCGGGTTTCGGTTGATTTTGGGTTTGGGGTTGAATTTGTGTTCTTGTTTGAGAAGAACATGTTTGGTTTGGCAGTTTTGTGTTATAAATAGAAGGGTTTGTAGAGAATTGTGGAAACTTGCAACAGCTTGTGTTTTGTGATTTGTGAGTGTATTGACAATATGAAGTATATATTCCAAAAATATTTATGGTCAGGAATTTGGAAATTTTGAAGGGAGGACCTAGAGTTTATGATATCTCCCCATACCCCTTCTTTCAATGAAGAAGGGAGGAATGAAACACGTAGGTTTCAAAGAGTTGTTTGTTGTCATATACTAGTTGTATGAACCATATATATGAGATATCTTTTACATTCACTTATACAATTAATATATATAAATCATTTTTATTTTTATTTTTATTTTTATTTTTTGGAAAAAGTTGAAAATTCATTTATAACCAAATTCAATTTCAAAGAATCGAAAGCATCCAAGCCCTTTGAATAAGGAGGGTTCCAACTCACAAATGCGAGATACAATGAGCTAAATAAAATACAATGAAACCAGCTCACTAGAAGTCAACTAAATAAAAACATACAAACATCATGGAAAATCAGTCAAATTGACCCAGCAATCGGCAAAACCGTAGAAGACGATGATTTTGGTACTCCGAAATCACCTTTAAAATATCTCATACTCCTCACATGTGAGTGGTAGAGGAGTTTGGAGAGTGAGATTTAAATTGCCAAAATCATCCCCTTTCTAAAATAACATCTTTTTATTCAATATTATTGACCGGTAAATAACATCTTTTTAATCAATATTGCAACTCATTGATAGTTACAAGGAATAAAGGAACTAGAGAATGACCAAGAGAAAAGAAAAATAACTTTACAATAAAACATGAAGAAAAATTAGATTTATACATCCCAAATGCAATGCAAAATTTGATCTCTCAATATGGGATGACAACAAAAATCGACGAAAAAAAGAAAAGAACGATCCTAAATATAATGTAGGATTATTTAGTTATGAAATCCCCACTGTCTTCCCCAACAACCAGAGAACTAGAGAGAGCTCAAGCATAAAGATGGTGTGGAGTGTAGTCCTGTCCAATATAAACCCGAATATGGTAATACCGGCTCTATTATTCTCGAAATATTTAACTGCAACAAGAAATATTAGATATTCATCACATCAACCTTTTCACCAAAAACATCATCTTATAATTGGGTCTTTTGAAAAATGATAATACAAAATGTAATTATGTTGCCCTTTAAACTTTTTATGAAATATCAAATATCATTTAGTATTTTCATCTCTACTACTATTTTCTTTTTACTCCTCTTCCTTATGTTGAAAATTAATCATAAAAAGAAACTATTGTTTTAGTGAAAAATAAAATAAAAGAGATGGTGTTTAAAGTTGGCTTACCAAGAGCATGTCTCTTTTGGAAAGAGATGGTGCTAAAAGCATATGATGGGATCAACTTGGTGTTGTCCAATTCATCTTCTTCAACATCAACCTCTTCATTGTCTGATTCTCCATGCTCTTCGCTGCCCACCGCCCCAGGCAACGATCGCCCACTGCCATTCTGAGCCGTTGCTACATCAAACGAGTCCAACGTTGCACAAACATGCCACTTGGCAGCAAGACATGTCACTGCTTGCGCCTTGTGAGTGATTTTGGCTGCACTTCGTAGCAGGATGAACATCCCAGTCACCAAAGTTACGGAGCATAGCTGTAACAAAACAGATGACAATTGCCATATAAGCTTTTGATGTTATATATTAAGAAAATCTGAATATGTGCCGTGATCAATTGATCAATTTCTCGTCACACCTCTATTAGACAGATGATCGGTGCCGTGATCAATTAAATGTGATCGAAAATAGTTTTATTTGACTCACCACAAGTTCACCAGCTCTGTAAACATCAAGATTGACCATGGTACTGGACTTGGTTGTGATGAGCAGCAAAGCAAATTGGCTCACTGTGACCAAAATGAGGGACCATAATATGAAGGCGCGGCACCTGTGGCTTATGATGGTGAGCTGCCTCCTGATCCTAAGGTGCTCAGACAACACTGACCCAACATCAGAGTCGACTTCAAACATTGTGGCGAAGTCTTGTAGCCGTAGGATTTGGAGGTAGCAGATCAGACGGAATAGAACGCACACGAGGAAGATCACGGTTGTACGATAGAACCACGAGCACAACTCCATTATACATGCTACTGCAGCACTCACGTAAACGTTACCCACGAAAGGGATTTGTGTGGCTTCGGATGCGTACCACCATATCTTATATGCACTATCGGCAACAAAGCATGGTATAACGAAGATGCATAGAAGCTTCAATGATCTCTACAAGAAAATTACCATGTCTATATATATGAGTCACACAAATGAAATTGAAAATCTATTTTATAATCACTAAAGCTTAAACCAAGTTACTCTGCCTTTTCAGGAAATTTCTTGTGCCATAGGGATATGATTCACTACTTTTTATTACACTTTTGTGCGTTGTATGCCAGATAACTTTCTACGAAGTTCCACCATGTTGGAGTAACCATTGTTCTTGTTATAACCGACTAAATTTTCCTATGTTCTTTAGGGTTTAATAGTAAAGTTTAAAAATATACTTCAAATTGGCAAACATATAATTCAAAAACATCATAACCATGACTTCCTAATGATCAAAATTTAATTATTAATGTGGAGAGTCCGCTATTCAGAATCAATTCAGAATAATTTAGACAATCGACTGTATGAATTATAGTGTCGGAAGAAGATGGAGCGGAGAAAACTCACATCGAGCTGAGCTGTGTATCCCCTTCTCACCGTCTCGCTCTCATCATAAAGCTTATCAAAAAACAAGAACCTCCGCAGCCCAAACTTCTTCACAAACCTTGACAAGCAAACAAACGACAAGCTCGCAACGCTGCTCAGCGACAACTGCACGACACTGTCGTAGGGCCTCTTGTGCTTGCTGTCACACGTGCCGCAACTGAACACGAAATGGGACATGGCGGGCACAAAAATCCCAAACAAAAAGAACACGAACCAAGAGAGGCATGCACTCCATGCATTCGATTGGTCCACGCACATCCATCGCAGATATGACCTAAAGCTCTTCAGCTCATCTTGTGTGTGCGAAACGCAGCGTTTGAACTTGTTCTTGGATCGGTTTAACAAGGCCTCGTCGACCATGATGTCATCTGCCATGCTCTAGGTTTGATTTGTTTTTCGGATTTGGATTTATTTCTGGGGGAGTTTGAGGAAGGAGGAGGGGACAGGACATGAAAGGAGGGTTTGACAGAACATTTATTTCATGCATATTGGTTTTGTTTGTTAGTTGGTTTTGTGTTAAATTTAAGTTGTAAGTTATAAAAATAGAAACTAGAAGAAGTGTTGCAGAGGAATGTAGAAATTGACCATATGGACATCTAGAAAGATCGATACTTTGTTCCTTTCAGCACCTAAAATATGAAAAAATAAATTGAAAAAAATAACTTCGTTCCTTTCCTTTTCTTTGATTTTAATAATAAACACATTTTAATTGGAAGGGAAAAAATAATGTGATTGATTTGGTCAAATAAGAAGGTGTGTGAGTTGGGTACGTGTTAGACAAACATTTGGTTTCATTTACATGGATTCGTGACTTGGCTTTCAACTTCTTGGTAGTTTATGTACAAGTCTATTTGTGCTTGACCAAAACCTACTGCTCCACAAAAAAATACCCAAAAATACTCACCAACTCATCCACCGAATTTCCCAGTCAATGTTTCAACCAATAAAAAACTGATTCACGCATATTGCATCATAGAAAAAGAGTTGAGACAACCAAGAAAAACTTAACCTTGGATGGAGAAAATAAGTTTAAAACTTCGATGAAAGTCGAAAATTTTAAATTAACATCTTGTTTGAATTCATAAATGCATTTTCACTACTACAAAATTGTAAAACCACGACACAAAATAGACGACCGTGTAGTTTAAAACCGTCGTTGTATTTTAAAAGATGACGGTTTTACAAAAGCGTCGTGATATACCATTTTAGACACCACTAAAATAGAGTTGTGTTTTAAAAGACGACGTTTGTAAATTACAAAGTTCGTCTTTTAAAACACGCTAGGCTCCTTAAGTGAGTTCGCTCTCGACCTAATTTTCAGATTTCCTCCCAACTCATCTCTCTTGAACGAACTCTGAATTTTCCTCATCTCTCTTCCTCCCTCGTCGTCACAGATCTCTCTCTTCATCTGTCTTTCTCTTTCTGCTATGCGTCTCTCTCTTGACCATTCGCTTCTTTTGCTTTGCAGGTCGTGATCGATAACGTCGTCTGCTCTCCACTGCGACTTTACTCAAGGTTTCTGAGCTCGCCATCTCGTCGGGCCGTCGTGGTAAGTGATTTTCAATAAGAGATTTGGGCCTTTTTCTATTTCAAATCCCTAGTATCCTTTTACTTGTACTTTCTCATCGATCTCCATCTCTTTCAGATCAAACCCACCGAAACCCTAAGCTTGCTCCTTCTGCAACAAAACCTCCAAAGCCGCGAAGGCCTCTGCAACAGTTGGTCTGAAATTTCTTTTCTTTTTTATGTTCTTTATGATTGACCTATTATATTGTTTCAATTTGATTATGAGTTGTTGCTCTGTTTGGATTATG